TTAATTCAGCCCACTAAATTCAAACCAAATTGTCTAAATGGTGACCGAAGAGCCTATTCCATTCTATCAGAAATTGTTCGCAAAAGCCTTCTACTCGAACGGATTCAGAAGAATTTTCCACGAGAGTGATAGTGCACGGTTCCAGTACAACAAGGTTCTTGACGGGTCGTGGATTATTATGAGTTTCTGAAAGGCTGGTCAAAAGGGATCTTGCATAGTCAGAGATACTGCTACAGGAAGCTATCTAGCCTACCAGTCAACCGATTGAAGAAATTTCGTAGCAGCTTCAGGGTGGAGCGATTACGGTAGGCCTCGTTGAGCTTGACGGTGAAGACAGATATTCTGAAGACGGTGAGGGCAGTGAAGGAGGGCCTGCTTCTGCTTATGGGGGGACATCTAAGGAATATTTTGCCGTATAAAATCAACAGCGGCATCCTTGTGCGACGAAAAGTTTGATGATGCGCCATAGGCAAGTGACTCTTTTTTTGCCCCCTTTCCTGTATAGATGCGATGAGTAATGTCCGTAGTCGACTCACTTGGGAATCGAAGACATCAGCATCAGCCTTCACCAATCAAACTCGTCAAGGAAAGGGTTCTGCGTAAGTCGTGGATGAGCGCTCAGGAGCGACGGAGATGGCCTTTCACTGAGGGAGATGGTGGAGCAGTTATCCGCGTTGGACAACCTCCTAATCGGCCGTGAACCCCCTCCCTGGCGAACGTCTTCTGAACAGTACATTTGCCTTCATATGAACGCAAATGCCGTGTAAAGCTTATCTTCAAGCGAAATTCTTTTGCCTTTCTATGCACTACATACTTCACCATGACCCTGTGAGAAAACGAAGGGGATGGGCTCGAGCCAGCAGTGGAAGTTCCTAGATGTTTGGAGCTGAAGCTTGGTGATGTCCGTTTCTAGCTAGTTGCTCTTTCTTATAGGTATTGAAAACGAACTCGAAAGCTATTTTCGGCGGTGGAAATTGACTCGACTTGCCACTTTCTTTTGGTTGAAGGTTCGTTTCTTAAAGTGTGTCAGGAGAATAGCATCTGCTTCGCTGTGCTAATATAAAGTGGGTTCTCTCGGTTTGATTCTACAATATTTGTAGTATTTGAGGTGACACTCGAAGGAGATCCTGTTTGCTCTTTCAATAGTAGCCATAAGCTGCCATACGAGAGGCTGGTGTTCGCTTCTCGAACAGAGTATTCAACTCGTTACTCGGCTATCTCTGCCGCAGATGGGAAGGTTCTTGTAAGGTACTTAAAATTGAACGTTCGCTCTTGAAACTATCGAATTTTAAAGAATAAACAGTCATTTGTAAATCGCTGTTAATGATTTTACCCCTTTTTCACTCTAGTGTACCGATGGCGGTGCCGTCTCGGAAACCGCCGATACTGCCGATTCTAAAGCAATACGGAGTCGTCCCGGAACGGTCAGCCTTGGTGTTCCTTCTACAAGTTGAACGTTTATCTTCTTATATTTGCAGGTGTTTGGAGCTCTTCGCACGCTCTCTTCTACCGAATACGGTGTCAGTAGGTCACGAGGTGCTCCTGTTGCAGTCCAGCCTCTGTTTTACTTCTACAAACGAGGCGACTGAAACCTAGAAGGCCAAAGGAACGCTGGGTGTCTTGCTCGACATGGGCTACCCTATGCATTCGTTCGCAATCATTTGTCATCATGAAGTTCACACAATATTACTTTACTAATTAGACCCTAATTTTGCATCAAAGGCAGAATTTGCGATGAAAAAGTAACCCATTCCAAATCAACTTAAGGATGGTGGGTGATACAACGACCAAGATGAACAACAATCCATGAGAAACGCCCAGACCCGAGAAATGGGGACGTCCTCCCTTTTTCCGTTGATTTCCCTTGATTCGCGCTCCTCGTCTTGTAGCTTCTCTAACCACTAAACTCTTCTCTCTCTCTCTCTATCAATCACTCGCACTATATATGTTTGCGACGAGTGATTAGATAGTCGGTGGCGTACGGCGCCCATGGCCAAGACCCCATGCTAGATCACGCGAGGCCAATCTCTCGCCGCCAAACGCCCTGTGTGTCATTCCGTCTCTCGAGGTCCCGCTTTTCCCCCCCCCCCCTTGACAATTTGCAACTTCTTCGACCATCGTGCTTATCATGGAATCCTGAGTCTCTACCATTGCTGAGCTGCTACGCCAGCATATTCATGTGATAGTGGTGGATGGGTGATTCAGATAGTATTGCTTGCCTGGGCTTGGCCATCGAATAATCCCTAGAAGCTTGGCTTAAAAAATAAGAAGTCGTGGCTGTGATCTCATGGTCTATTATCGATGTTGACGATTTGTTCGTTCGATGCGGGCCTTTTAGATTATCTCACATTTTGGATCCGATAACTTGACGGGTTGTACTTAATTTCTGAATGTTGTGACTTTTCAAATCCTGTTGATTACTTATAAATATTGGATTGTGCTCTTCAGGTTTTTTTTTTGCAGCTGTTGCCTTGGCCAATTTCTTATTTTGTGTGTTTGTTATCTGAAAAAAATGCATTTGCAAGGTTCACCTGTATTCCATTTATGAACTATCCAACACTAGCAGGGGCATCAAAAACACTTCTTTACTTGAGCGACTTTGTAACACTCCTCAAGTCCTCCGTCAGAGTATTAAAGCGCACATTTCATGCCATCGAAGCACTTTATAAAATCCTACTACACCGGGAAAATCACAAGCATTTGCCTTGGGAACACGATGGAAGCAATGAGCTGGGCGAATCGCTCCCGAAGTTCGTTCTTCGTTCCTGACATTGTGCTATAATGCTGATCCAAGCAAGGATTTCTGCATAATCTGACCACCGTCCAGACCGTCCTCCAACTAACTGGTAAAACTTTGTGGCCCTCAGCTGGAGCAGTTAAGCGGTAGCTCTCGTTGAGCTGGAGGCGGTGACAGATGACGTCATATTCTGAAGGTAACGTGGACAGTGAAGGAGGGCCTTATGGAGGGGGTTCGTGAATATTTTGCCGAAAGATTTTTATTTGTCACGGCACCGTGTGTGAGGTAAAGCTCCTGATGCGCCTCATCTGCAGAGTGCCTTTTTTGGCCACCCCTATCTTGACCACACGATTAGTCACTCGGCGCTTCAAAATAAAATAAATGTTCTAGAGTCCGGAAAAAATATCCATTAGATCTCACAATGAGGTGGATTGAATCAAGTACGTGGCTTATTCTGGGGCACGTGCTGAAACTCATCCTTTTGTGGAACAATCAGATTGCTTAAATAGGTTTTCTTACGCATTGCATACAAACAACTTACTTTCTGAGGATGAAATCGAGTGCATGGCGCATTCCGAAATCAAGCTTTCTGAAAATATTTTAGCACCATCTTGTAGCGCTTGAAGAGCTGAGTTCAACGGTGTTTTCCGTTTCTGGAATACTTCACTCTGACCCGACTTATAACGAATTCACGAAATTAACGAGGATTCGCGTTATTCGAGAATTTTTGATTTCTTAGGGCGAGTACCAGGATGGAAATCGTGTCCAGGGTCAAATCAGTACGACCCTCCCCCCTAGAATCGGGTTCTTGATACGAACCCCTAACTTTGATTTGATGTGAATAAACGAGTTGCATTATGTGTACTTTGAAGTATGCAGTTGCAGCGCGGTTTATCCGTGGGTCAGATTTGCCTGAAACCCCGCTCGAAACCATCGAAATCTACACTCTCGATGAAAAGGTTCCATTCCCCCATTTCATAACCTTTGGAGCAGTATGTGGTAGGGTTAGATAGAGCTGGATTTGCTACTACCGGGCAATATTGAAATTGATCTAAAAGCTTTACACTCGAAGAGATAGGGTCTCAAATTTTGTCGAGGCAGCGTCGATGAATTTTCATGCGAGTTTTTGCCACTTAAAAGGCAATATCTCTCTAATTTTGTAAGATTTGAAAAAAGGAAAGAAGTTTTGGAAAGCGGAAGGTTTGCGCTTTCTAATGGTCTGTTTAGCTTTCTTCTACATTTTCTAGTTGAGGAGATATTTGCGTCGAGGATCTATCGAGGACGGATCTCGGCCACCTAAAAGCCGCTCCCTTCTTCACCATTGCAAGTTAATTCGTTGGCAACGCTCGAAATGTGTCTAGAATAAATTCTCCCAACGTAAGCGACAAAAAAGGGCAATCGTCATCGTCCGATCTCGTCTCAGTATAGGCCATGCATCCGACCTCCACTCAAGTTGTAGAATCTATTGAAAGGTGTTATACATATGATGATGACCTGTTGACAGAAACTGCATTGTAGTAAACACATTTCGTAACTCCTGTAACCTAAGGAACAGCTTCATTTGCCCAGGGCTTTCCAGAACTATTGTCGTTTTTGCGACAGCGTCCCTAACAAGTGTCATTCTCAACGAGGTATTAAGGGAGAGGGAGCGGGCGGTAGATAGAGGAGGTGCCTTTGCAGCGCGTGTGCACATGTGGCCGTTCCTTGCGGAGATGCACTTTCATTCTTTGTACTGCTTTCAAATACGTCCTTCTCATAAAGGTAGAGGAATGGAGCGACTGAACCTGCAAAGAATCTGCATCTGATGTTACTGACCCCAACGAGTACGACCCCACATGACCGACCCTGACAAATACGACCCCTCCCCGTCGAGGATTTCCTCGACTGATATCCACCCTGGCGAGTACTGAATTTACCCTATTTAACTCATTCGTAGTTCAATTTTTAGAGGTCCCGCTCTCTATGTGATTTTGCGGGTCACATTGTGCTTTGCGTAGAGTAATGGAAAAGTGAGTGTAGACTGTTGCAAATGACCCGAATATTCGAATATAATTTATTGCAACATGCGTCGCTCGCCGTGCTTGGACTGGATAGGCTACACATCTTCGTGACGATTTGTTGTCTTTGTGTGGGAAGGATTAACTGTCGTTGAACTGGTTCAACAGCATCCTCTCTCCGACAACTGTGGGGGAGATTGCAAGCACGTAACTGATGGTGAGATCGATTTCGCAACAACATCCCACAACGTGTTACTCTGATTAGATCTCGAATGCGAGAAAATTCGGTGAACCCTGCTCTACCCATCCAAAAGGCCACAAGGTTAGGATTTGTAGATTCCTACCCATAGATGACAAGGTGATATAGGCAACTCTTTGTAATTAAACGAAGAGTGACGAATAAAGCATTAGGGTGTTTGACCTCTTTTCAGTATGTACCACGTATTCCGCAGAGACATGACCTTAGTTGAATGCGGTTATGCTATTTTGGCTTTTGCAGCACGGCGAACGACGATTACATTTACGTCTTTTATTCTCCCAGAGAAGTTTTGGTTTGCTAATTTGAAACGCACACTGAGAGGAATGGAAAGCTTGGTTGGTGCAAGCGAAGACTCAGGTCGGTTGATCACTAGAAATGGCGTCGTCATCTGTCACCACACTACCTCTGACCCTATAGCTGCATACTAAATGCAAAGTTAGCTATGAGCTCATGGTTCACGAAATCCAAATAAGTCGTTTTCTAATACTGGGTCGGACCACAGTATCGTAGCGTTTTTTTTTTCAAGCTTATAAATTCGATCAGTATAAGCATCACCCCAAAAACCGCTGATACTATTTGAAAGTGCTCCTCCCGCTCTACAAAACCGTAGTTATCATTTTCTTCAACACTGTAGGTGTACTCAGGTATATAGAGCTTATAAGTTGAAAAATCCAAACGGCGAAAATCGACATTTCGACAGCTGCTATTCCTCGGTCTAAATAAAGAAGAAAAAACGCCAGCTTGGAAATTCTTTTGAATCCATTGTTCTAAATCGAACCTTGCTCTCAACGATCCTACCTTTTCAGCTCAAATTGAAACCATATTCATTTCGTACAAATTCAAAATAATAAAGACTCCGAAAACAAGCTCAATATTTTTTCGAAATTCTAAATATCCGGTGATCCTCTGCAAAATGCGATCAAAGTTGTAGATAATGACGAAGTGAACATCACTGATTAGTTTATGGTTTTATTTTTTGCTCGGAATGTTCCTGTGAAGAAATGAAAAATGCAGGCGCCACGATATTGTGCTCCACTCCAATACTATGAAGTGACCCGACTATCTTTACTGGAGGATTACGGGACTCTAATGGACTTTGAGGATATTCGTAGCTATTCCAGTGGTTTGATGGCCTTCCCTGCAGTGCGACCAGGGTCAAGCGAGGCGTTGAGGAAAATTTGGAAATACGACCCCCCCCCCCCCACCACCCTCCGCCGGAGGCCGAAGTCCATGAAACAACCCTCTTCAAAAGCCGAACTATGAAAAGGTTGAAAAGCTTGTTTAATTCTCCCCCAAAACTGCTCATAAAAAAGCCCTGCTACCCCACCGTCCACAAAAAAATTCGTTTAAGAAGTACAAAAGTGAAAAAGTCAAAGAATAATCATTATTGATGAGTCCTACCAAACGAGCAAACGAGAAACAGAGCAAAAAACGACAAACTAGTCACTAAAAATGGCATACTATGACAACATCTCTTCTTTATTTATTCACACATAATACTTACCAAACGATTATTGCGTTCTCAAATACACGCACCCTTCGCTCAAAGGGAAGCCTTGTAAAGCCTTCACAACTGGGCATTGGCGCAAGCGCGGC